CTGGAAAATTTTTCAAAAAATAAATAAATGCATATATTTCATCTCTTAACTTTTCCACGCACAAAGTTTTAGATTTTTCCAGATTTTTCTAGAAATGTTTCAATTTTTCCCGATTGCTTTCTGGAAAAGTTTCAAACTTTTCCGGAAAATTTTCGGACCTTAATATCTCTAGTCCCTACAACAGCAGAGACCACCACATACTAACCGTGCCCCTGTTTGAAACGATTCTGATTTCCAGGAGCCAGTTGAACAGAGTGCAGGGTCCCCATCAGACGGATGCACAGAGGTAGCTCTGTCATTTAGTAGTTTGGTGTTGGAGCATCTTCTTGTCTTTTGTGTCCCCCTATTGTTTTAGTTCACATTAAGAGGAATGCTAAATTGTTTATTGTAGAGGTGTACTTACTGTTTATGTAGGCAGTTGCAGAATTTGTGTAGGCCTTGTGATATGCATGACCAAAAATTCACAAGTTCTTGAAATTTGTAATTTACATTGTAAAATTAATTTCTAAACTTTTCTGACAGGGCTATCACCAAATATCACATGGAGAGAAACTCAAGGACGTTGCTCATGAATGTTGGTCAAGGAATTCACACCAGCTGGTTGCTATTGGAGTTAATTGTTTGAATCCAAAATATGTCACTTCTCTTTTGTCTGATGTGAACGAGGAAGGGCGACCGCACATTCCACTTATAGTGTACCCAAACAGTGGGGAAGTTTACAGCCCCAAAACAGGGTAAGTGGACCCTAGTGTACCAGTATTGTAAATGAATTTCAATATGATTACAGTTATGACAGAAATTAATTTTTATGAGATTGACCATCTGATGTGATTGTTGCAGGTGGACTGACCCTGACAATGTGCCATCTGTGGATTCTTATGTTGAAGAATGGCTGTCATTAGGAGTTGAATATGTGGGGGGATGCTGCCGCACTAATGCAAAGGACATATCACGAATGAGAGCTCATGTAGACCGATGGCTGAAAGAAGGCACTTTTACTGGTCCGATGGGTATTATTTCAACGAACAGTAGTTGTAATACAAACAGTGTTGGCTGTCATTGATGATGTAGAGTAGTGTAAAATATTTTACTCTTCTTCAGAATTTGAAAAAAAACTTTTGCTAAGTGAGTTCAAAGTATTTCAAAATGATGATGAAGTTAATGTCACGAGACCATAAGAATCATAACTGAAGAGGAAACCAATGTGCCATTAAATACACTGCAAAATGAAAATTTAAAAATACATATATATATATATAGAGTGCCAGAAGAGGTTCTGTATCGCCAGAAACTGCATTTAAAGTTAAAAAAATCATGCTTGAATTAATTACAAGAGGTAAACTATCTTGTTCATTTGTCTTTCAGACATTAAGAGGAAAGTTCCAATTTAGGTGGATATCGAATGAAGTGGGTTTGTTATACCGATTCAATCAATTTATTATGTAGCAGAACTAAAAGATAAAAGGTTGATAAAAAATATGACTGAAAATATCAATAAGACAAGACAACCTGTTATTTTGTTTTTCAATAAATAGGTTTTTCAAAGTACACAATCTGAGTCCCATTCCACTTAACACAGAATGGGTGGCAAAAGAGGCTCAAGATTTTTTTAACAACAGTAGAAGTGTAGGCGAGACCACCAATCACAACAAAAGAAAAATATACAAGACGTTCCAAAGAGACAGACATCTTAGATAATACTCTTACTCTTAGCCTACTCAGTTTTCCAAAAAAGACACATAATCAGTCAGCTTATTTAGTTGTCCTTCACTAGATGTTGTGACATGAGAAGATGGTGGTGGCCTAACAGGATGCACCATCTCAGTTTCTGCATCGATTATCCAGCCACGTGCATTAGAAAGTCTTTCAGCTTCTCTATCATTAATGCCTGCCATTGCAGATAAGTCACTTACAGTAATTGAAGAATATGCATTAGCAATTAGGTCAACAGCTCTTGTACGTAGTTCATCTGAAAATTTAAATTTTTAAAGATATTAAATCTTAAAGCTCATAAAACATAATTTAATTTACATGCCAAGCGTAAATTAAGACAACAAATAAAACAACCTCTTTTAAAACTGTCAACGAAGACAATGCTTACCCTGGAGTGCTAACATGATATGACGCACATTATCTGACCATGATACTTGAAGTGCACTGTATGCTGCAGGATAATCTCTTTTCCACATACATTGACCTACTTTCCATATCAAAGAGAGCTCATCATGACTATTTTTCAAAGATGTAGGAATTCGTTTCCAAAGGAATTTGGCATTACACCTGCAACGTAAACAGCAAATGGATACAGACAGAAATTAATGGTTTGATAAATTTTTCATGTATCAGATGTTGCAAGCAAGGTAGATAACATAAAATTTAAATGAAAAAAGTACTTACAAATCACTTTGACATAGGTAGATTGCTAAGAGTTGGGCATATTCTTGAGCTGTTGCTTCTCCGGTAGGAGACTGAAACAAAAACAAGAGTTTTGATTCACTAGCATCTTCAAAATACAGATAATAATAAAATTTGAAATTAAACTTATGGCATTTTTCAGGGACAGAGCATTGGGAAGTACACGAAGAGCTTCGTTTTTAAACATCAATAATAACATGACAGTCCTTCAGAGGTTAGGGTGTACGAAAATTAATTCTGACACACACTTACTATGAGTTCCAGTCGTTCCAGTTCAGCGCAGGTAGAGATAAGATCTTCGGCAATCATTTCAACTATGATCAGATATACATACGACACAATAAACCGACAATTTTTCTATGAATTGTAAAAACGAGCGAGGCCGTCAAGGATCGGGCAATCGGAAACCAAAACCAAACCGAATCACTCACTCACTTCGGGTTCGGGTCGGGACTTCGGCTTCGGTAGCTGCAGCGAACGCGTTCGGGGGGTAGTTCGGGTCGTTCGGGACGGGTTCGGATGCGTCGCAGCGCAGCTGAGCAGACGAATCACGAATGCCAAAACCCTTCATTCAACATTGAGTTAAAGCCTGTAATTTCTTAATTCTTACCTTTAAAGCGGCCCAAGTCAGTTGGGGCTCCTGGCAATGGCCGCCAATAGAGGGTTTGTCGCTCTTGGTCAGTCATGGAAACTGTCGCGCAGTTTTGGAGATGTGTCTACCTTAAGCAAAACTGTGGTTCGATGTGCATCCTCTAACCTTCCATCGGACAGGGTTACCCATACGGGACAAGTAAGTGATCTTATTGTGTGGTGTTTAATTTTGAGTCACATGTTATGACATTAACGTAAGATTCATTGCATAATCTATTTCGCAATCCAAGGCTCTCTGTATTAACCTCAGGAGTGCTGAATCTGAATGATTGAGTCGCACGACTTCAAGTGAGCTACTTGTTTTTGTTATCTGCCATGGTTAACTAAATGTATTGCATTTACATCAACAGAAATGGGACGAAGATGATTACAGAATGGTCCGATTTGTAAACAAAACCAAACTTGTCAATGAAAATTGGGCTGCTAAGCTCATTGAGAGTGTCCCTCCAGAGATAAGGAAGGAACGCGTGGTCTCATGCGATGGTGGTGGTGGACCAACTGGCCACCCTAAGGTCTACATCAACCTGGTAGGGCTTCATAAAATTTGAAGAAATGACGTAGGTAAATAAATGAACTGCAAACCTGAAAAAATAACATAATTTTCTTACCAGGACCAACCAGGGAACCACTCATGCTTGTATTGTGGTCTCCGCTTCAAGAAGGATGGCAGTCATCACTAGTGAATTTTCTTTATTTGAGGACCGTTTAGAAGAATTATTCTTGTTCTTATATTTAAATTGATAATAAATTACAACTCTTCTTATCATTTGTCAATTTAATAATTCAATTTGAATTAAATTAAGAAAGCTATCAAAACAGCACAGTGTAGTGTTACGTAAAATAAAATGATTCCACTACATAAATTACATCTATATACAAACTCAAAAAGTTATGAACATTTGATTTCAAAACAAAACTGGATGGCCTGTTGTAAATGATTGAGAACAGTCGGAAATTACATAATTGGCTATGGAGAACATTACATCTTTTTTGGCTTGTTTGGAGGTCGGCCTGTACCCCCAAGACCACCTCCCCTGCCCAAAGGTCCTTGTCGTCCTCCACGTCCTCCAAAGGCACCTGAAACAAGTTGAAATGAAGGAAATGTAAACATGCATTATAAAAAATTACATGAGCTACAGACAGAATTGTAAATGATATGAATCAAGACCAACAAAGACATACCACGTGCACCTCCACGTCCCCTCTGCCCTGGGCCACCACCTCGACCACCTTTCATGTCTCCTCGTCCACGGGACTTTTGCATTACTTCTTCTTTAACCATATCAATAACTTCATCTGGTATTCTCAAATATTTTATGGTACTTCCACGTATGTAGCATTCTGGCATCCTCCAAAACTTATCACCATCCTGTAAAAGAAATGTAAAATTGTAGTTTGACAGAAAGCTGAAGTAGTTGACAAACTTCATTAATCTATCTAAGGGAAAATCTGCATCAACCTCACCCTTGATGTGCAAATCACTTCTCGTAAATTGATATTCATCCAGTTGTCACAGCTAACTAAGTGTCCATTGTATGTTTCTCCATTTTTTAACTCTACCAACTGAAACAATTAATGGTTTGGTTTTACTATGTTCCCCTCCCCCCCCAAAAATAGTACATAAATGACATACTAGTTTTAAAACTGTATTGCAAATGCATTAAATGCCAGTGACTTACCATAGGATGGTTTTGCGCAGTCCTGAGGAGTGACAATGGTAACTGTAAAATTGTAGAAAAGATAACAAAAGCATTACTAAACATTATGGTCACACTGGACGCATCATAGTATTACTGTTTTTACACCGGACTCGCTATGAGGCCAAACAAAATCTCAATGAAAATGTAAAACGTCTATCAAAGTTTAAACAGAATGGCAAAATATTGTATGTTTCTTTTCAGGGAAGGTTTCCGTCCCTCTGTCACTACCATATTAAAATTTAGATCGAAAAGGAATTTTAAAACTTCACAAAAATGTAAACAAGGAAATATTTTTATATCGTTTAGAAATGTAAATTTGTCAAATTTGCAGCAAAATTCCAAAAGAGTGATCAAATGTGTCACCACAGGAAGTTCGACAGAAACAGCTGTCAAAAGACGACTCCGAGAGGTAAATGTCACTTCTACAAGGAGTGTTTTAAAATTAATTAAAAGATCAATTAAGTTGTGTAAGCTTTCAATCCAAGCAATGTATAAATAGGTAAAATTTCACTTCGATAAATGCATGGTGACAACAACATTTACAGGTTATGTAGCTATGCAAGTGCTTTAGTACCCTGAGTATCTACAAAATTTCACATATTTGTCGAGGCAATTTACCATTGTTACGGTTTATTTAAATGCTTCAAATTCAAATTAGATCAGTCTCCTTGATTACAGTATGCAGATTTTGTGTTTTTGTTGAAACAAATTTGAAATCGTTCGGACTACGCCGCCGGCACTGAGCACCTTCAACAATCGACTGCGTGCGTATGTATCATGACTCGTGTCTCTCCCCCCTGTAGCCTACCCCCGTCAGTGTTTCTGACGTCATGTACAAGTTGCACCCGGTTTTCCCTCTTCCGGTTTCACAACTTGTCTTACCAAACGAGTCCTTTGAGATCTAGCACCCGTTTTTTGGGGTATTTTTTTTTTTTTTTTTGTGATAATGCGAGATTAGATTAGAAATGCAAAGTAAAAACGTAATGTAAAATTAACTTGTTTACAAAATTTATTTTGACATTGAAGTGTACAAATTTAAAAATTATACATGGGCTTATCTTACAATCAAGTGCATTTCCTGTACCAACAACCTGCTCTTGGCACTTACATTGGTCAACTTGTCCTAGATAAATATTTTTGTTTTTAAAGAAAGTACAGAAGCGGCTTGTGATCATCAGGAAAGCTGTAAGAGGTCATTTCCTGAGCATCTCAAGACGCTCCTTTTACCTAATAAATATTTGAAGACCAAAGATTCCACATGTTTAAAAAGCTATTGCATAACATGGGATGGATGATAATATCATTATAATCATTTTTCAAGAACATATTTTTAGTTGGGTAATTTGTTTGGTCTAGTTGAAATTGAGACATACAAGGATCCATCATATCATTCACTATCATTCAAACGTTGGAAAAGAAAACATGTTAAAGGAGAAGCACTGGTTGGTGGTACATTTATGCCTGGGAATTTCTACTAGTCTGTGATGCCATTAATTATCTTTCAAAACCCAGATTCAGATAAATAACAGATAACGAAAATAATAGTTAACAAAGAGATATGAAAATAAACAGTGGCTTAGTAGTTCTCATGGCATTTCCCAAAAATTACGAACATGTTGATAATGTAGGCTTTAGTCTATAAATTTTGTTTCACTGATGAAAGTGGCTGAGGGCGCCCACTGAATGACTACACTTATGCCACTAACAGAAAAAAAACAGCAAACACACACACATGCTCACCAACACACACACACCTGAACAGACATACAACCATTCACACATGAACTAAGAACATTTCTTTAGGCAGTCTTACACTACGGCCACTTAACACTGATGCCTCATGTGAACCAACATCCGTACAATTTGGTAACATTCAGGAACACAGCCTCTTGACTTAAGATGTCAAGTAGACGATTATGTTTCAAGCGATGTCACGCTTTCACCTCGCGAGATTCCTGACACAGCCTTCTCTCGCACACAGCCAAACTATCTTCCTGCATAAACGCAAAAGCTATTAATTTAAAACCAATCACTTTAATGCTGGTTATCAATTCATTTCAGATTTGATTAAGAATCAACCAGGCCAAGCTCAATGTTCACATTTAGCTGTGACACTTCAAGGTAACACCACACCACACCCAAACTCATAACACTGATTGAAATTCATGGACAACAGTAATCCTTGACTCGACAATTGAATATAACACAATACAATGCAACAAGAGAATGAGGATTTAGCGGAGCTTCCACCAGCTGTCAAGAACTAGAAATTTTGGGAGAGCTGTCAAAATATACATAGTATTAAAATAGAACACACAAAGCAAACAAAATAACAATAACATACCATAGTAACATTGGACATTTGTGACATTGGAGGTGAAAGAGAGCCAGAAGCCTAATTAGGTCCATTGGCACCTTTGGCTTAATTTCTACGAGAGCATTTGCAAAGTTGCAGAATAGTGAGGGCAAAGGAATAGACATGAGTGAAATTTGTACAGTGGGATGGCTTTATGAGATAATGTTACATAAAAAAAGAAAAATAAAGGCAGTCTACCTTGTTGGCATGTACCTGACCATTCGGAAAGCTGTGGGTTTGTAATTGTAAATAAAGATATCATAAATCACCAAAGGTGATGCATATCTTGTTACATAGCTGTAAGCACATTTACACAGCATGATGTCACATTGAAGACAAATGAAATTAAGATGGGCCAAGGCTGATCAGTCTACTGTGTTGAGTGGAAAATATTATTTACACATTACAAAAAAATTCAGCCTTTACAATCCACTTTTTCTTATTAATTGCATTATCTGAAAATGCATGAAAAAGTAGCAAGGTTTGTCTTACTGACCAAAGAATAATTTACATTTAGGTATATCCTCAAATGATATGAAGTGATTAAGGTCAAGAAATGAACAAAAAACTGAGGTATTTACATTTAAGAGTAAGCTCTCCTGATGAAAAGAATTTCAAGGAATTTCATAAGCTTAGACATCTGGAAGCAAGCTTCAGAAAATCAATTTGTCTTGCCATAGAGACAGATTTGTAATAAATGAAGAATTGTCATAATGCTACAACCTAAGTAAGCCCATGAGGCAGATGAATATACGGGAGCAAATTCATTTGATTCAATTCCTCCAACTAATTTGACTCAAGACTATTACAGCAAGTAAAAAAAGGAGCGTTACAATTTATACAATGAAAGAAGTACAGCTCTGGAGTACACATGACAGTTTCTAGACTCATCAAGTTTTCAAATCCAAGACAGATTAGGAAAAAGTTTAAAACAATTCCCATAAATCTTGAAGTAAATATAAATTAACTTCAATCTTGAAAAAGGTAACAAGTGATCTATAATAATGCCCTGTGTACTCTCAACATTTTCATTTAACAACACAGTTTTCAAATTAGACCACACAATGTTCAGCCCTCCTCAGCCAGACTTAAGGGGAGCAGAAAAAAACAATATCAAACATTTTTCTGCTTTAGCTGATAGACAGCAAGATAAAAGTTTAGGAAAAACAGAGTATGGTCTGTTATCACATATCTTCAGATTTATTATTGTAATGATGAAAGAATCAGTGCATTAGATTTACATCCTGCACTATTATCAACAGCTTATAATTAAGATATTCAATAATCAATAGAACTTATGAGAACAGAAACAATGACTAAGAATCATCAACATCACTGTATCAATACAAAGACTAAGCCCCCTAAAATGCAAAAAATGAGCTTTAAGTTTCCAGTTCTCTGTAAAATGGTTGCAACTTAGTACATTGCCCAACAAGAAATAAAGATTAACTATCAAATATGGTACCATAAAATTTATTACAGGAACAGAGAGAAAAATTTTGCAGAGCATCTCTCTCAGCATCACTCCATGTAAAATTGAGCCACTCAAAATCAAATTGGTCACATTTACATGGGATTTCAAATAAAAATTCTTGATAGAGGTTTTAGGTGAACATTAAAGCACCAAGATTTATAGATACAGAAATATATGAACTCATTTGAATGGAAATAATCTAGGATGTATGTTGATCAATCACATGGTCACTGGTTATTTCAAAACAAAATCAATTACCCTTTTGGCAGTACATAAAATAAAGGGAGAAAAAAGTATTGATAAAATGATTCTAATTGAGTGTGTTCAAAAGACTCAAGGGAAAAAACAAATCCATAGGCCCAATCTGGACAAAACTCAAGAATATTGGAGTACCTTTGTTCGGCATATTAAGATGGACAAAAACAGTCAAGTTGACATGGTACTAGTGCCAACTTCAATGATAAAGACTACAGAATGAACTATTTGGATAAATGGGCAAAGCAACTGCACCAATTTATCAAAACCCTCTCAGTCAGTCTGGGCTTTTGTAGAACTCAAGTTCAAACTGAGGTACAAGCAGATCAATTTTAATGACCAGGGTGATAAATGATCAGAAAGATGAAATGTAAGTTAATTGTAAAGACTTATTGCAAATAATTTTCATATGAGAAACCTCTTTGAAGCAGCCTTTAACAACATATCTTCAGGTACAGTTCTTGCATAGGGCTGGATGGAGTGTATTGCTTGAATCACAAAGCAGTACTAAAAGAAATAGAGGTACGTACACAATATCTTTACAAAGAATTTCTTAAGCACTTACTACTACAATTCTGAGAGGCAATTTAAATACAAAGGATGTTTGGCATCAGCATGTTGATTCCCTGACAACCACAACTCAGTTCCAGTCTTCATCTTCCTCCATTTCTTCTACATCTTCCTCTTCCTCACCTCCTAGATTAAGAAGAACATCATCATCTTCCAAGTCTTTGATCCCTCGCTTAGCTCGCCTCTCTCGCAATTTTCGTTTAAGAGCAATGATATCTTCCTTTGTTCGTTCCTTGCGGAATTCATAGACTAGAGGAAAGATGTACTCTATGGCTGCTTGAACTGAAGCAACACTGGGTGCTGGAAACAATATTCAGATTAAAGATAAAATATTTCAAGATGGGCTGAAATGGGCCTCATAAGTACACATGCAGTTTTAATATTGCTCACCTGTTACAGTAACACTACCAGTTGAGAAAATTTTCAATGTTGCCTTTGGCTTTTTTAGCTTGTAAGTGACTCCAGGGTGTAGCTCTGGTTCATAGCTAAACAAAACAATTTTGAAAATAAATAACTAACTAACTAACTAAAATGTTTACAATTACTTGACATATCCTGAAGGTAAGACTTACTCAGCTTCTTTATGCTGCTCAGAAAATGCAGTTATTTTTATAGCAAAAGGCATGGAACATGTTCCTAAAACATTGACAACACGAAAATTACTGAATCTTGCTTTGAAGCCTAGTTTCTGAAGGCATCGAGCAAATCTTCTAGCGGCAATTTTAGCTTGATCTTCACTGGTTGATCCTGTGCATGTGATTTTACCAGATGACCATATAGAGGCAGTAGTGTATGGTCTCCGCAGCTTCATAGTAACCATCTACAAGCCAAATAGAAAGAAATAATTACAATGATCTTTGAAAAGGCAGCTGCACATAGGATATGTTGACTTACCCCATTCTCTCGTCGGTATTCTACATTGAAGCCTGTGAGTGCAATTTGCCTGAGATTCAAATGACACTTAACAGAAAAGCTGCACACTACATTATTGATCACTATATCAATTTCCGGTTCACTTTCTTCCTCATCTACACATTGAACTTCGGGAACTTCTGCACTATGTTCTGTATCTATCACCAACTTTCCATCATGTTCACTTTCATTCGGAACACTATTTTCACTGATTCCTACAGGAGAGTTCTCTTGACTTAAAACATGGCCAATAAACTGTCCATGTTGAAGGAGCACTTGTTGTCCATTCACTATTCCATGTTGAACTTGTTCTTCACCGAAATGCATTTGCTGTTGTTGCTGTTGTTTAGCACACACTTTGTTCATATCAACATGCTGCATTAAACCACCATTAGCAAGTGGCTTCAAACCATTCTTCTGCATGACCGAGGCCATACTGCCATTGGCCAGCCCTGAAGACAAAAGAAATACATTAAGTTGATTTAAGCATATCTTAGATTTGCTTTCAACAACATCATATATTTAACATAATTGAACATTTTATTTTTCAAAATCTAACAAAAATGGGAGAATAAAATGTTGGGCAAGAAGTTAAGGAATAGACATGTAATTGTAAAATATAGCACCCAAACAAACAAACTCATACGTTAAACATAGATAACAAGTTCAACTTAAATTACTAAATATGCAGTCACTTAAATTGTAGCCATTGAACATGAGAACTGCAGCTTTTAAAGAACTTGACATCACTCTACTGACACTAATGTTGCACCACAGTCCCCAGGCTGAACAGCTTCCTTCCAAGGTAAAAGAAATACACAATGGCCAAAATGATCAAGAGATATAAAAATGTAAAATGAATTGGAAATTTTAGGTAAAAATTATAACAGTTTTTATGAGTTAAATGGTCAGGGCTAACTTAACCTCAATCAGAGGACCACAGAAGTTAACCAACATAAGAAGAAATGAATCAACAGATAGAGCACCAATCAGAGTTTTTAAGTTATGGGAAAACAATGTTAGTAAGAAATACAGGCAAAACATTTCACTATTACCGTATTACATCAAATATGAATGGGAAGAGAGCACGGTGACTAAGTGCCCCAAATCCCCGTCGAGTTCACATTACTTTCAGGGAGGGGGTCGATTTTCCAAAACTGACCTCAGCTTCCGAGGTTCAATCAATTGAAGCTCCACAGCAACCGCAAGGACGGCCCCCAAAATATTATTTAGGACAAGAGATCTGCAATGGTCACTTACCCCCACCTCGTATTGTCTAATAGGCCACTTCCTCTCAGTTCAGGCTCTAATTTGCTTGCAGCTGAGCCGCAATCCGTAGAGAAATGCAGTCACAGGAATCGTAAAAACAATTCCACCCTTCTACTAACCTGTGTCTTATCTTTTCGTTGGTATATCACATAGAATTCATGCACAAACAATTAAACTTAGACAACAGGACAAAGACTGACAATAGCTCTGTCCGAACTACTATAACTTCTGCCATGTTCGACCACACACTGATCGACTTCAGCTCGACCTGTGCTCCCAGGGCATCCAACTTAAATTAAGCAAGCAAATAAAAAAGGTGCACCAACTTAAATCTGAAGAAGAAAAAAATGTTTGCTGATTAGTCTCGACAAAAAGAGCCAACTTAAGAAGAAAAGGAATGCAAATCCAGGGAAATCTTGTTTTAGTTCTTATTTTTAAAGAGGAGCAGACAGCAGTAATAATCTGCAAATTAAAAATACACATTCTCGCCATCACAAGTCGGTTCGCTGTAGATTAAATTGCTTGAGATGATTCGCGCCCGAGTCTTCTTATGGCTCGTTTTCTGTCGCTACTCCAAAGCAAGTATATCACTGTTCATGGCGGTTAGTGGTTTAGTTAACTTAAGGAGTAAAGGGTTATGGAGGGAAGGACAAAGGTAAGTTACGCTTCCAACAATTATTTTCTACAGCATTCTACAACATTTCAGCACGATAAATCATTGAATATTTAATGATCCGCGACCACTGTCTCCTAGGGAGTTTTATACAGCTGATTGCCTACCTCCCAGGCGGCTTTCTTAGAACTGACCGGGTGGGGGGGGGGGGGTAGAAGACCATACCCTCTTCGCTAAATTTCAAACTATTTTTCTTTTAGCACACCAGACCGTTGTTTTGGGGACAGAGACGAATTTGGTGGGGAGGGGGAGCGGGTGACACAATGATACGGTAGGGGTTTTGGTTTGGGTTGAGTCCTGGAAGGGGCAGGTGGGGCAGGTTGCAATAGACAGACAGCATTCAGTAACACTTTCTGGGGCGCGTATTAAGGGGGTGGTTGGCGCCCCCCCCCCTCCCCTGTTGGCACTAGATAGCCGTCTAACAGGTAGGCAATGTGAGCTACAAAACCCCCTGTATGTAGGCAACTTCCTCTATTCCACCCCCCTATCGGCGACCCTTACAGCGCCCCCACCTTCTCTACGACTCAGAGTAAAGACACAAAGGGTCGGAGGTGGGCTGGATCCGTATGGCGGGTCGAGACCGGTGAGGGGGGGGGGGGAGACCCCATTTAGAAAATGCCTGATGGTTGGAGAAATGCACATGTACTAAGAAGGCAACAAAGAAGCACATCATAACAAAAAAAACGCTGCGTCTACCTTTCTCCTAACAACTTTACAGCAAAATGAGGCATTCCATTTCAAAAGTCAAAACAAAAATCCCCCCCCCCCCCAAGAAAAAAAACACGATGCAGTCACGTTGCGCTGAGAAAAGGCCAGGCAGGCCTGCCGCTGCTTTCGTCTGTCTCTTCATTTTAACCGGCATTGTTTCTCCATCGGAAATTTATTGGAGAAAATAAGTCTAGGAATGTACATTCCGTTTGGCGAAAATCGACCTCAAACTGCCTGGTGCCAGGCACGTGGCCGTCGGTGCCTGGCACCACCGACGGCCCCCACGTCGGGATGGGGGAGGGTTGCGTGAGAAACCATACCGACCAACCCCTCCCCCAATCTCTCGCCACGCCGACACAGCATGATCGAGGAGGGCAGATGTCTCTTGGGTCCCGCGTCTCGGACGCAGCCGAGGACGCCGGGGGGTCGCGTGCGGCTTGCGGCCCTCGCACGCCACCACCAGAACTGCTCCGACAGTCCCCGGTGCCGGCGGTCGTCGTCGCAGCCCCCAGCACGCGCACCCGCCCAAGTTCGAACGGCCCCCTCTCTCCCGCCTCCGCCAGTCAGCCGCCGCCGAGCCCATCCGCTTCCGGCCGCCCGGAGAACCTGCTTCTCTTCTGCTGCGAGCCTGTTTGTTGTTGTTGATAGCGAGAGTTAACCATGGCAGACATGCAGGATAACATGAAGTCTGGCCAAGACCAGCACAACTGTGCAGTGAGTAATAGCGCCGACCCTAAAAACATGCAGGAATTGACGACCTATGTAAGTAACTGAGGGCGAGAGGCCGCGGGCGCATCTGCCCCGCCGTGTGGGTGGAGCTGTCACAGGGCGCTACTTGTCATTGCTTCATTTTGGCAGCATGCAAACACGCTATCATTCCCTTTTCTTCAACTTTACGCACTGATTAAGTTTTCGAGTTTCGGAACAGTCGTCCTCCGCTGTTCCATCCGCCTTCTTTTCGCGTTTACCAAAGTACCGTGGAGGTTAAGAGGCACCTCTCTGTTGATTTGAATTTCACATCAAGATCTTCTTTACTTTTGAGCATTTGTAACTCAAGACTTGAAACATTTTTTTCTCTCCCCCCCTTTTCATATGATTGCTCTATTGATCATTTGTGAACTTTATCAAAAAAGTTTCAAGATGGGGTTGTTCAGGTTGTTGACTTCTTGTTGTTTTTTCAGGTTCAAACCCTGCTGCAAGGGATGCAGGACAAGTTCCAGACCATGTCTGATCAGATCATCAATAGAAATATCCTTTATTGCAGTCTAACACAGTTCTTTTACCACTTGTATGTTTGAGGAGTGACTTGATTCTATTAGTTTTCAGATCAATAATTAATGTCAGTTTTCCTTAATAAATCGTACTAGATGAAATGGGGAACAGGATAGACGACCTGGAAAAAAACATTGCGGACCTCATGACCCAGGCTGGAGTTGATGGTCCTGAAAAATGATAATACTTATTCACGTTTATGTTGAAATTATCATTTTATATCTCTTTTTCCAATACTATTGTATCATATTTTATTTGCATTCCTACTGTGCTACTACTAATATCATTATTTATTATTATAAATCATGAATAAATTTGTGGAACAATTGTACATGGATCATGTTGTTGATGAACTGAATTCAGTTTTATATTTTACATTTAATTTAATGCTCAACACAAGAAAAAGCAATAATGCACATGAGATTATCATTAATGTCTGATACATAAAATAAGTGACATCCAATAGCTCTGTAACAGGAGATCAATAAAACTAACATGAAAGTTTATTTTAATAGTACTTCATTTCTCTGGCTATAGCTCATTTAAAAGTGAGATCCAAATGACAAAGCTCATTTCCTGTTGTATCCTTCATCACTTGAATAAGATGACACCTCATTAATGAAGTCTTCCACTTCAACTGATTCTGAGGATTCGTTAAATGTTTTTTTTAGCGAGTCCTGTAAAAATTGAGGTATGAAATATAAAAAATTCTGATCAAAAAAAAATTGAAGTCTGATTTAACTGCTGTTCTCACCATGGATTGAGATTTGGCATTTCTTTCTTTTTGAGGTGATCTTGCCAGGCCTGAGTCTGAAGATCGCCTGAACCTTGGAGGTGTTGTGAATAAATTCGCCAGAGAACCAAGAGGTGTAGAAGAACGGAAAGAAGTTCTCTTGACAGTGTCTAAACGAGATATTGAGTCAGGAACACGAAGTACATCTCGAAATTCCTGAAATAGAATAGATCAGATGCTTATCCTGGAGGAGAAGTTACAAAAGAAATGTATTCAAATGCTTATGAAAAGTTCTGAACCTCAAGATCATCCTCTACACTTATATTCTGTAGATCTTGAAAAGCCTTGGTAAAGAGCTCTATAGCTTTGGCATGAAAGGATAGTTCAGTTAATGCATAGTCTTGCAGAATTGACTTAATGTCTTCAAGTTTTTTCTTTTCAAAGATGTTCATTTGTTCCTCAAGTCCTTTCATTGTTCTTGAAACATCAGCACTGGCTTTCAGGAGCTCTGTCTCAGCTAAAGTCTATGGTACAGTTAAGGCAATATATTTTTTTTTCATCATCATAGTGTAGGTTTAAATCTAATCACATTCATAATTCAAATAAAAGGATACTATCATCTGACGATTTCTTGGATTGCGTTCTCTGATTCGATCTAATTGACGTTTACGAACAAGTTCTTTTTCACGAGCTGAAAATGTAGCTTTAACTTCCTCCCTTGAGTGCTTGCAGATTCCATCGTATTGTGACAGCTCGTTCACAACTTTGCTCTCAACTCTTTTGACCTGTGTGTCACTACAAAAATAACAGCCTTGGATTAAAATGCAAGTGAAATAAAACAGTGACCATAATACTGCAAAATCATAGCTGAGGATTTAGTGATTAAAGGTAATCCCCATACCGGTAATCACCAACTGATCCCAATACTGCAGAAAATTCACACAATGCAGCTTTCAAGGTATGATTAACATTTTCATTATCAGCATAAGATTTCACAGCTTTAGAAAGCTCATCATTTTTATCACGCAACCTGAAGGAACGAGAGGGAAGAAAATTGTTTCTTAAATATCACTTGAATGTTTTTTAACAAGTGGATATCACTACTCCATACTCGAATTACTGTATTCAACATACCCAGCTGACTTCCTTGCCAAGGAGCCAAATATGGTACACATTTCAGAAAAGTGCTTCTCAACAGAAACAATACGCTCTTGAACAAATTTAGCTTGCTGTTCACTGTACACAGAAAATCGAGAGAAGGATTGAGAAATATTACCAGAGAGCAAAGAAAATACATGAGTGTTACAGCTTACCACACTACATTTGATGCCCTGTTTGCCCTCATATTTGAAGTCGAGTCGACTCAGATTATGGTAGGAAAAATGGAAAGTAATCTTATTAAACGCTTATATAGAAGTTTAAAATTACTGGGTAAGAATAGACTAAAGAATACTCTATCACAGCATAGTTTTGTGCGAATGACAGCTTTGAAGACAATTCAAACCATTCAAACCCGTGTTAGTAAACAACAGCCTTGTACAACACCATTTTACGTTTTTTCCGCAAAACCAGAAGTACCAAGCATTTCGAATATTTTCTTGGTAATAATATTTTCAACCACGATATAAAACAAAAAGAGTCTGATGCGAGTGAAAGAGTCTTGACGCACCAGATCCGAGTTTTCAGTCAATAATTCCACGGCAGAAAAGCACACACACAAATGCGTCCTTGCGCGCGCGCGGCTGGCAGCCTTGCGAGTAGCCTCGCAGCCTCGCCCGGGCGGCGTACTCCCGCGCGCTTTTCAAACTGGCGCGGAAAACTGTCCGGCGGGGCAGCCCTTTCCTTCCCCCATTAGGTGATGCGGTTCCGGCAGCGGCAGGTGGCCCTGCAGTGCTCGAGCCGCTGCCGGCCCTGCGGCGTGCCGGTCCGGCACAGCCAGTGCGGCCACGACGCGTACAGCTCCTTGCAGTTGGCCCACAGGTCGGCCGCCGGGCACGCGTTGGTGCACAGGCCCTTGTGGCAGCGCTTGGGGCACGCCCCGCAGCGGTCGCCGCTCTCGTAGGGACGGCCCAGCCGGTGCATGTGGTTGCCCCTATGACAAGGGAAACACTGTCATCAAAGACCCAAGTGTGGGAATGTCGCACATTCTGTTGGTGAGTGAATATGTCGCACAGATGTGAGAATGTCACACACTTTTTATAGATGTGTGAATTCTCATTCGCACACTTGAGTGAGTCAGGGTGCGAATTTTCCTTGAAATTTCATACAATTGTGCCCTCAAGTGTACGAATGAAATTTCACACACCCACAAGTGAGACTTTCACACACTTGGGTTTTGAATGTGGCCAAAAATTACCAAATTTAATTGGAAACAAAAAAAAAAATAACCTGAAAATTGCCGGATAATTACTCAGTGATTACCGTCGTAAATTTTCAAACTAGAAACCTTAATCTCGGTCACACACTTTAGCGATCCGTTGCATCATCTTGACACTCACATCGGGCAGTAGTTGCAGACGTAGGCGTAGTAGGGCTTGCCCCTGTTGCCGCCGCGGGGGCACTTGTGGAAGCCGCAGCCGACGGCGTGCGAGGAGGACCACACCAGCTGCGTGTAGTGGCCCACCAGCGTCAGGTTGTTGGTGGCCGCGCCGTAGGTGAAGTTGCGCTTCTCCAGGTTCCATGTCTCCACGGCGAAGAACCTGCGGTGGTGGCGGGCAGAACTCTACTGATTTTAAGGTCCGATTTTTTTTTTCAGAAAGTTAAAAACTTGTCCAGTAAAAAATTTGAAATATTTCCAGAAAAATTCAAAAAAATTCCAACTACAAAGCAAAAATTTCAGATATTCCCCCCCCCCTAAAAAAAATCTTTTAAAAAAATCGGAATTCTTCGCTGGAAGATTGAAATTCCAGCCAGAACAGCGTGCGCCAGGCGAGTAGGCAACCCAGCCGACACGATACTCCTGTTTGCTGCCTCCGCGGTCACCCACGTCCGCGACAACGTCCGCAGTGCTCCCCGGCTTTCACCGTGTCGCTCGCGTATAAAGCCGGCACGCCCGTTTTGATTCGCCATGACCAGAGGAGGGAGCTGGGAGACGCGAGACAATCGGACTGGAAGAGAGAGGAGAGAGGACAGGACGCAGACAACTCTCTGACGCGGCGCCGGTGCCCGTTTCCGGGCGTTGCGCTTTGCTGAAAGCGAGTGGGAGCCACTCTTGGACTGGATCAAACTGTCTTGCTACGCTGACCCGCTCTGTCTGCCTGCGCGGTGACTCCCCAAACATATTCAGACGCTTATAGATCAGAGACGACGCCTCCTCCTCCTAGTCTGCGGCTGATAGCAAAACAAAGTAGGGAAAGCAGGAGTTGGGTCCCTTTCGCTATAGAACTGTATAAAAAAAATGTTCGAAAAAAAGTTTACAAAAAAAAAGTTTACAAAAAAAAATGTTTACAAAAAACATAACAGAAACAAAATTGCAAAAAATATTTACAAAATAAGAGTTTGCACCAAAATAGAATAAATTCTTTCTAAAGAAGAACTACGGATGTGGTTTGTGATTCCCTGGAGGCCCGTGGGGACGTGACTCACCAGGGCACCTGGTGGGTGGAGACGAAGATGTTCTGGCCGCAGGAGCCGAACTTGTCGATCCAGCGGCCCGTGATGTTGTCGTGCTGCAGGAAGCGGCAGTCCTCGGCCCAGCGCTGCGCTGCCCGGGCAGACTCACCGTGCCACTTCTGGACGACGACAACACAGAAGAAGTTAAAAGGGAGTTCAGCTGTTGTAAAAGGCGCTGCGGTGTCGAAGTTTGCGAGCCTTTCTATCTGAACCGCGGCGCCATTCTCTTTCCGCGACTCACCATGAGGAGCATGTCCTTCGCCGACGGCTCGACGTTGGCGCGAAAAAAGTTGTGGTACAGGACGATCTTCTCCTGGACGTGCTTGTGGATCGGCGTCAGGTGCTGCTTCGAGATCCGATCGCCATACAGCCGCGGCTCTACAAATACCCCCAAAAAATAACTTACAGTGACACTGAAAAAAGAAATTAAGCGAGGAAATGAAACAGCTCATGGGTCGGTACTTTTTCGATGGTCCTCGTATAGAAAGTAAGAAAAGTAGCCCGAACGCATGTAGAGAGGAGGATTCGGTACTCACTTCTGTCCGAGTGCCAGGCGGTCGAGGAGACGGCCAGGGCAGCCATGAGGGCGGCCAGGACGAGGACCCAGGGCCGCACGCCCGCCCCCGCGCCCACCATCCTGGAAGAGAGACGGGCGACAAATGAGTTGCGGCAGATCAGAAACAAAACGATCTAATCGCTCGGCGAGATGTCAAGCGGAGCGAATCGAGATATCGCCAGCGCGCCCATAAATAAGACGCGCGGAGACAAACGTTGGCAAATTCTCATCCACCTGTCGCCCTTTTCTAAACCGGAGCCATAAGTCTCAGCGGACGGCAAACGCATGAGCGATAGAAAACGCCACACTATTACATTGTTTGCAAATTCGCTCACCCGTCGGGGCCGTCGGGTCCGCACCGCAGCAGCAATCCAAGATGAAGCCACCAAAGCGATCTCGCTCCAGAAGTACGCCGTGAATCAAAGCGAGCGCAGGACTCCGCGCCCCGCCCCGCCCCGCCCCGAGCCGCGCGTGGGTGCCGAACACTCTGAGCGTGCGGCGTCCAGTTTACGATATCAGCCAACGGCACGAGAAGGAGGTGGGAAATCAAACACGCTACGGTGCAGAGATACTGGCGGTGAAATCAAACATGCATGCCATTACACCTCAAGTGTGTGTGTAAAAAACAAACAAACAAAAAAACAGCATATATTGTGGGCATCTCCAGAGCCCTTATTTGTCTGATTCGGTCGTTTTGCAACCTTTTTCGCATTCGTACTCGATTTCTTAGGGACCGTACGGGAAAGTACTACACTCGTCATTCGCCGTTGCAAACCTGCCAATTTCAGCCTCTGCAAGCTCACACAGCGCCTGGTGGGTAGGCAACATCTCGCCTGCAGCGCACGTGTGTACCGCGGGGTGGCCTATCCCGAGTTTCGCAGGCGCCAAGCCCTCGGAATTTGCCAAACAAGGCGGGGTGAAGAAATGGTCGTGCTTTTTGAACGACCCGTTAGGAGGTAAAACCTGATGCACATACGAGGCTGCAAGTTGCATGCACTGCCTGGCATCCCATCGTTTAAAACAGCCCACCGCTGCGCCCCGTTGCAGTAGGCAAGCCCGGCGGGCAGGCATGCCTGGCGGCACAGTATGACCTTTTAAATAGGGGACTGTCTAAAAAGATGCTGTACACCACCTCAAGCAACAAAACCAAACATACAAAAACATTTGTTAAAAACTGCTTTTTATGTTTTGTGCCACAAACAAAACATTCTGCCCAACAAAACTCTTTTTTTTTTTTTTGCGCTACAGCCTCCGGTCAAAGCTTACAAGCGGAGATTACAAGCACAGGCTGCAATTTGAGACGAGAGCGACAACTGTAATGACCAATCGCGAGGCAGCCACCGTCTGACAAGTGCAATTACTCCGCGACTCTCTCTCTCTCTCTCTCTCTCTCTCTCTCTC